TTTCTTTCTTTCTTTCTTTCTTTCTTTCTTTCTTTCTTTCTTTCTTTCTCTTTCTCATTTATTTATTTATTTATTTTTATTTATTTATTTACCAAATTTATATTTATATTTTTAGAAAAGAAATGAAAACATCTTATTGCAATCTTGTCTTTCAGGTCTAATTCACATCGTAAGGAACACCTCAGCACAATGGGCTCCCAGAGTGATTAGCAGGACCTTTGCTGAGGTGTGTCTCTTGGCCCATCAATATTAGTACTAAATGCTACAACACTCTTTGGGTTTATTTCTAACTGAGCTAAAACATGATGTTTCTGAAATATCTATAAGCTTGGATTAAAGGCATCATGAAAATAATCTGTAGACTGGGGACAATTGCTGTATACATTTAATGTGAGCCGCCTTCCAGAAGCACAGAAAACATGTAGGAACGGTAAGACTACCCATTTCATTAGCCTGAGGGTCAGTACACTGCATGTGCCTCTTAGCTGGCTTGCTGGGCAGTCTCTAGACTAGTGATCCTAGCTTGCATAAAATAGCAGGAACATACTTGTTAAAATGGGCATTTTGCTGGCCTGCTGGCCACGTGTGCCAAAACTGACAAGTGCTGTCCTTTTGGGCAGCAGGAAGGGCTGCACGTGCCACGAATGTGACTAAGTCTGGTAATCAACTCTTTCCTTTCTTATTTCCAAGCAATATGTGAAAGCCTTGACTGACCAACCCCACAATGGATGAGAAATCACTATATCCATGGGCCCTTATATCATGGTGATCAGGGCACATGATTGTTCCCTTTCCATTTTCATCTTTCATGCCTTTAATTTCTTTGGCTTACTACTTTTCTGCACTCAGCATAACCCCTCACAAGGAAACAATTTGATGCATATGTACATATGTATATAATTGTATCTTGGAGCATTTCAACTTTATTTATATTATACATTTATCCCACACAGCTCTGTTTAGGTAAGAATGGGAGCAGAAGTTGACAAATTCCTGCAGGAGCTTTATAGCTAAGGTATTCTTCCATCTATTTATGCAGGCAACAGAGAGGTTACATCACCATCTACATAAAATATGATCACCCTGATAATCATGGAAAAAGTGAAACAAAACCAACCAGATGCCCTACAGTAATACGTAGATCAGTGTGGTTTAATGTTTTCATCACCCTATAGAAAACAAGAAGTAGAAGGGGTTTCTTTGGTTTTATTTAAACCTAATCCATATACTAATACAAGGGGATGTAATACAATGGGAATTGGCACTTACATCTCTTAGTGCCGTCCAGATTCTCTGCCTCATCTCGTTTGGATTTTAAAAAACCAAGCAAGCAATTTACAAAACAAGCACTGGTATAATCTGACTAAAGGTAATGGCACTGGATCCCCTATTAGTCCCATAGGCATTTCCAGAAAAAATACTAATTTATTTATTCAACTTGAATCCCATAGGGCTCCTGACAGTTAACAATGGGGCATACGCAAATATCCATAATCAGAAACAAGATCCAAGTTGTAGTTCTCCAGCAAAAACATTTTACAGTGGGGCAAAAAAGTATTTAGTCAGCCACCAATTGTGCAAGTTCTCCCACT